TTTCTCCGTCAAGATTACAACTTTCTGGCTTATTTCTTCTCGTGGATGCATTAGAGACTTGGAGACTTCGTTTATAAGGTCCATGATTTCGTGAGTCTTGCTTGTCTTTACTTATTGGATTTATTCTGGGGTTAAGATTGACATATCTGTGAGTCGATTATGCTATCATCCTCGTAGGCTAGGGATTATGTGATATTGTTACTGATTGCATGAGCGAGAATTTATTGAAAGGTTAATTGATCACGAGTGACTATCGCTTGGTTGCATGTTCCTGAACCTATAAATGCCTTCTTTCCATCTCGGGTCTAGGAGTACCTTGTTCATTTTCTCTTTATTTTCATTTTTCTTGCAATTTGAGGTCTTTTTGCGATAAATTGTGAATCTTGCTCTCGTTTAGTTTAAATTGCGTTCTTAGCTTAATCCAAACCCCAAATTGCGAGTAGAGTGTTTATGATTTTATTTTCTTTTCTTGTGTGAGTCAATCGTTGTTTGAATTCGTGTCCGAATAGCATTCCTTTGAGAATGATCCGAGTCCGGGTAACTCGGTTACCAACTACCCAAAAATACTAGAGCAATTGGAGATGGATGAGCGTGTGATTGTGTGCGTCGTCGGAGACGATGTTAGGAGGTAAAATTTTTGTTTAGGACTTAAGCGAATTTCCTAAAAAATTGAAATTCTCGTTCACTGCCTGGGAGATTGGGATTTGGGAGTGGGTAATGGTTATGGGTCTATGCCTTTATAGAAGATGATTGACGGACTGATGAGCAGGTGAGGTGTTGAATTCCATGAAGATTAGGTTTGGGCCTGTCTTGTTATGGTTGGGACTTGGGCCGCGGTGGCTATGGTCCTATAATAGTTGTGTTCCAGAATGTCAGTAGATTGAACAATATAGCATCCTATTGGACCTTTTAACTTGTATGTACAAGACCGGTTTTTGATTCGGTCCGGTTAACCGAGAAGTTATATCCAAACCGAAACGAAAGCCGAAATGTTAAGAAATTATAAACCGAAAACTGAACCAAATTTTTGGTTTCGGTTTCAATCGGTTTCGGTCGGTTAACCAAAGTTTGTGCACCCCTAAATACTCGCAAGCCTCACAAAAGCCTAGCTACTCTTACACCGAGCTATAAGTACTAATGGTTTTGCCCTAGCTACTTACATGTCGGGCTATCTACATTGGTATTGGTACACAAGCTCCTTACATTCCGATTTACTGATATAAGTGAGTTGTTCCTAAACCTGTCGTCCTAGCTAACACCGGTCTATAAGCCGAGTTAGCCTCGACCGGTTCTACCGAATCATTCTTCTATATATATATATATATATATATATATATATATGT